AAAGAAAGAAACATAGTTGTAGACAGAGGCATGGAAAAGGATCACTTAGAGCAAATACTAGCACCAAAGACCAGACATTTAAAAGAGGGAAAAAATGGTACCAGGTAGGAGGATCAGAATGCTGACCTAGATAATTGAAGTTGCACACATAGGCCTCAAAGAAGACAGTCCTCACCTGACATATGGGTTTGGCTCCACAAAGACCTCCACAAAGATAATGTTTTCTTCTGCTCTGTATCTGCAGCCACTAAGTATGGCCCTTGTGCTCCTGGTTCAGAATAGTGACTAGAGCTCCAGCTATCACACATGCATTCCAGGTAGTGGGAAGTCAAAAAGGGTGAAGAAAAAGGCAAAGGATGTGCACCAACTTTCTTCTAAGGGAAGTTTCCAGTAGTTATCACCTGATGCTTTCCCTGGACATCTCATTAGTTTGAACTTAGGCACATGACCAGGCTCAGTTGCAAGAGGCAACACAGGAAATGCAACTTCCATTTCGCAGCCTATTGACCAGCTGAGAATCCAGGGTTTTATCACCATAGGAAGAATGCACATCTCGGGATGCCGGGTGACTCCACCATGGAGTGAGTGGGTAAACTGAGGGGCCAAGTACTGCTGACTGTGTGCCAGGCTCTGAGCACTTTACAGGTATTTCACGCCAACCCTGGCAGAAGCTGTCATTATTGCTGACTCACTGGGACTTGCCAAGGCCACACCAGGCGTGGAGGCAGAGCTGCAGGGGGCCTCTTCCCCAACACCAAGCTGCCTGGGAAACCAGGTCAGGCCTTGGAGCTGGTGGAAGGAATCTGAACAAGGAGGGCTTGGGCCACAATATCAGATACTGACAGGCCAAGCAGGATATGGGCAGCAGTGCCCGCACACATTTGGCAGCAAGAACACTGCTTGTGACCTTGGCAGGGACATCTAGAAGCAGTGAGGGTGGAGGCCAACTAGAGGGAAGCATGAACTGGTCTTTCTGGAAGAGTGGCAGAGAGAGAATGGGCAGATGGGGGTGGGTGCCCAGCCAGAAGCAGAGGAGGGGGTCAAATAGGAGTGGGAGAGAAGAGGTAGCTATGGCTGAGGTAGAAGGGTTGGACACAGAGAAACCCTTTTTCCACCATTCAGGAGGGAAAGGGACAGGCGTTACATGGCAGGTGGGTGTGGTCGAGGAAGGGAGGGCAGAGAAGCGGGAGCTCATGTCTTACAAAATCTGAGCCATCGTGCTTGGCCAGGGAGGAGCGCAAAGGGCCAAGGGGACAAGGGAGGTGGGAGGCACTAGCCTGTGCTATCTAACGTGATAACCACTAGCCATATATGGCTATTTAAATGAATTAAAAGTAAATAAAGTACAAACTGCTCCACAGCTGCACTGGCCGCATTTCAGGTGTTCTGTGGTCACCTGTGGCTGGCAGCAACCTAAGTGGGCAGCACAAACTGAGAATGTTTCCATTGCTTCGGGAAGTTTTGTTGGTCCAGAAAGATCATGGTGAAAACACTACGTGGCTGTAAATCAGACCTGGAGATCATGGCCACGACAGGATCTCTGGGCATCCTTCCCCACTGTCACCAGTTAATCCCTCTGTTACAATTTAAAGAGGAAGTGTCCCCCAAAGACTCATATACTGAGGGCTTGGTCCCCAGTGTAGCAGTGTTTAGAAGTAGGTCCTGGAGAGGTGGTTGGTTCCTAAGGGTACTAACCTCATACATGGATTAATCCGCTGGTGAGTCCGCACCAGAATGGCCTATCAGGAGGCAGGGCCCAGTTGAAAGAAGTGGTCCCCAGAGATTGATGTTAGGGACTATATCTGTTCCCCAGCCCCTTCTGCTCTGGCTCCCTTTCACTGCTCACCAGTTGCTACCAGGTGAGAAGCTTTCTTTGCCACAACCTGCCACCATGATGTTTCTGACCATGGAGTGAAACCTGTAAATCTGTGCACCAAATTAAGCCCTTCCTTCTTTAAGTTGTTTTTCTCAGATATTTTGACACAGTGATAAAAGGCTGACACACCGTCCCTCCTTGTTTGGGGTCCCCCGCATCTCACTCTTAGGACAGCCAGCCTCTCCCTCCCCCATCTCATGGAGCCACTTTGAGGCTTCTGTACATGTCCAGGGCCAGAGGAACAACTTGTGGAGGACAGGGAAGAGTACTGCTGTTTGGCGCTGGACCAGGACAGTGGCCTATGCACAGATCCTGCTGGGTCCAGAACATACATATCAGCTCATCACTACCTACCACAGATCCAGAGGGACCTCAGGGATCGCTTAGCTCCACCCTGCATTTCACAGATAGGCCTGCTGATCTTTTGGGAGGTCTGGAAAGAAAGTCAGGAAGCCAGAAGCCCATCCTAATCCCGTTTATTGGACTCCACCTTCGCTTTCCCCAGCTCTTTTGTTCCAATAGAGCCAGTCAGGCCCGAAAGCTGGGGCACAGAGCCCAGGGCTTGCATCCCAGCCCGAGGTAGCTGAGAAAGGATTCAAGGCTAGAAGGGCTGTCCTGGCCTAACACACTAGGGAAGAAGCATTTCCCCATGGAGGAGACACAGCAAGGACCATGTGTCTCTGCTTGGGGTGTAGGTGTGCTCAGATGGCTGTGTTTGCAGGCCCAAGCTGTTCAAACACAGCGTGGATGGAGGGTTGTGTGTGCATGGGTGGTGGTGTGCTTGTAGGTGGGGGTGCACATGGGGGTGCGTGTGTATGAATCACTGTGTGGCACGTGAACACACTACACACTGGCTGAGGGTGTTTGAGCCCTTGTTCAATGCCCACATCTGCCAGGTGGTGCAGCCCAGGCATAAGTCACTCTACCAAGAGAGCTCTGAGTCAGCAAGCTCTAGGGCAGCAGCTCTTCAATCCAAGTCGCAAAGTGGCCTGGGCATTTGCTATCCATGGGACTGCCCTGGCAGCTTCAGGTTCAGGGGCCTGAATATCTGAGGCAGGGCAGAAACAAGGTGCAAACAGACCTTCCCAAAGGAACCTTCTGTGATGATGAAGACATCCTGTGGGGTCTGATATAGCAGCCCCCGGCCATGTGTGTCTACTGAGTAGCTGAAATGTGCCTAGTTCAACTGAGGAATTGTAAATTTTATTCCATCTTATAAGTAGCCCCCTGTGATTACTGGCTGACATGTTGGAGAGCACGGATCTAGAGAAACTGAAGGAATGGGATGGATACTGAAGGCCCCAGGTAATAAGCACAAAGCTAGGGTACAGGTGTGTGGGTGTGCCCTGCCAGGGCCTTTGGGAATAGGAGTGGCTGAGACTGGGAATTGGGCTGTTTTGGAGGATGAAGAGTTAGAGCCAGAGCCCCAGATTGCACCAATCCCTCCTAGTAGCCACCCTGAGCTGTGGGCAGATGAATCTGCCTGGCTGAGCGCACAGGAGATTCCCAGGAGAGACCCCTGTCCTTGGCTGGGACCCACCAAGGCCCCAGTCTGTAGCTGGGCGCTGCGTCCAGTCTGAAGTCAGGGGCTGAAATCAAGAGGTCCTCATGTTCTCCTGTAGGCCCAGGGTGGAGCTGGTGGTCGCAGGATCACGCCCCTCCTGTGTGTGCATTGGGGGATATGAGTCAGCCCTTGGGTAGCCACTGCTCCAACCACCCCTGACACACACACAAGCCTGGAGTTCTTACCACTCCTGGCCCCATGTCCTCTGCATACTTGAATTTCTTCTGTTTGTAGTAGTGCCTCTTTGGCAGGATGTGGAGCAGCAACAGGTCACAGAGAACAGTGGCCTGGGGCAAGGAGGGGCACAGATGGAGCGTGGGAATTTGGAAGGGCATAGAATCTTGCACAACCTACGGCAGGCCCTACTGGCTGGTGGCCCTGCCTGAATCCTATGACCCCGGACCTCAGTTTCCTGGACAGGATGGTGAGGCACTGCATGACCCTCAGGGGACCAAGGCAGTCCTATCCCATGTCTATCTTGCCCCAACTCTCAGCCTCAGTTTTCTCAGATACTCTGGCAGGGCAGCTGCTGGCTCAGTAATGATGGACAATTGTAGTCAAGCTTTAGGAGGAGGGGCTTGCTACCACTAGGATGTGGAAGAGGAGGGGCCACTCCAGCAGCAACCTGGTATCCCCAGCACTTACCACCCCGAAGATACCAATCCCAGAGCCAATGGTGGTCATTGTGGGAATGATGTCAAATTTCCCAGCCTGGTGGGAGAGTCCAGGAGAGAGAAGGGTTGACAGTGAGAAGGGACAAGAGACCTTCCCTACCCCTTGTTCCTGGACTCTGCCCACCACCTGCTGCCCAGGGCTTTAATTCTCCATGGGGAGTCGGCTCCTGCTTGGTACATCTTGTTTTTCACCTTGGTTTTCCCTCCGTGGGCCCAGGGAATTTGTAGAGGAATCATGGTCACTGACTACAAAGCCTCACTCTGGACATCACCCATGTCTCATCTGGCTTTAGACATAGGCTTGCTGAGCAGACCCCACCCTGTCCAATGTCTGTCATTATAACTGTAGACAACCAGATGCAAGACCATGACTCAGCTGCAACTCCCCCTCATACACACACACTGGAAACTCACCTTGCCATCCACCAGGATGTCAAAGCGAATCCCAAACACCTTGAAGAGGTGACGGTGGTTGGTCCCATTTTCCACAAAGTGCCTGGCAAACCTTGGGGAAGGGGTGAGGTAACAGAAGAGCATCAGATCCCTGGTACACCTTACCAGTCCATGTCACCTCCAACAACGGCCAGGAGACTTGAGAACCTCAACCTGGGAATGTCACACCTTACCCCTGCCCTGACACCTGCTGTCAGCCATTTCCCTAGCCATTCTGGCCAGTTGGGCCTTCAGGAGACTGAGACAGAAGGCAAAGGACTCCAGTTCCCCACCCAGGTCTTGCTCCTTTCGGCGCTATCTGCACAGATGGGAGATTCCCAGGGTTCTCTGCTACCCTCTGGGGTCATGGGATGCTCAGCCCCAGCAGAACTCCAGGGAAGGATGCAGTGGGGCCCAGGCAGGCACCTGAAGTTGAAGCCTTGAGACAGGTTTTTCTCCCCGTACAGCCCATGGAACTCATAGATGGGTTTGCAATGTCGCACATGCCAGTCCAGGTCACAATTCCAGTCGATGGTGATGCCAACCACCCCACCCTGCCAGGGACACAGGTGTTTAAAAGCTGGGATTTAGGTACCAAAATATGCCTGTCTGAGAACTAATGCCTACACTCTATCAAAGAGGGAAATTTTTTTTTTTTTTTTTTGAGGAGAGACACTGAGATGTTGCTTTGGAGTAGAAGTCCCGCCATCCTCCCTGGCCTTACCTCCTACCCATCACATTCCACATTCCAGGCCTCTGATCATTTCCAGAATACACTGAGTTCTTCCTATCTCAGGGCCTTTGCAATGCTACTCATCCATCCAGTTTTTCCTAAGGCTGGCTCCTGCTCATCCATCCATCCATCCATCCATCCATCATTTTTCCTGGGAGAGCTTCCCTGACCACCACTTCAAACTAAAACATGTCCTTTGTTATTCCCTCCTGTTAAACTCTATATGTGCCTTTGGAACATTTGTCTCTTTGTAATTATTTGCTTATTTGAGGTGATTTTTTAAATCAGTCTATCTCCAAAACTGTAAAATCCAGGAAGATGCAGCTATCTAGGGATCTGTCACTGACCCCCTCTTAACACAAGTTATAGAGTGGGAGGTAAACAAATAGTTGTTGAATTAAAGAGAGTACATCTGGGGCAGGTATAGTGACATACACCTGTAATTCCAGCTACTTGAGAGGCTGAGGCAGGAATATTGTAAGTTTGAACTCAACCTTGGCAACTTAGCAAGACCCTGTCTCAAAATAAATAAAGGGGCCAGAGAGATGGCTCAGTAGAATAAGTGCTTGTCCCAATGCAAGGGCCTGAGTTCAACCCCTGGTTCCGGAAAGAAAGAAAGAAAGAAAGAAAGAAAGAAAGAAAGAAAGAAAGAAAGAAAGAAAGAAAGAAAGAGAAAGAATGTTTGGGGCCGGGAAGATGGCTCAGTAGAATAAGTGCTTGCCTAGCAAGCACAAGGGCCTGAGTTCAATCCCTGGTTCTGCAAAAATCAATAAAAAAATATATATAGAGAGAAATGTTTGTGGTATAGGCTAGTGGCAGGGTACTTGCCTAGCATGCAAGAGACCCTGGGTTTCATACAATAAAAATAAAATAAAAAGTAGCAGAACATCATCAAGCATCCAGTTGACAATGTCTGCTCACATTCATTCATTCGGGGCACCTTCTCTTGCTAGGTCCAGACCAGCCCCTGCTGGGGACACAGGCCTGACCTTCAGGGGCCCCACGTATGAGGAGATAGGCCTGGACATATAGAGGCTCTGCACTCGGGAGGCTAAACTGGACCTGAAAGGACTTCATTGCATCCTCATGGCCTGGAACCATGTTGTACCTTCTCAGCCAGCCTCCGGAAGTCCTGGCCTGACTGTTGCACCACATAGCCAAGGTTGAAGACAGGACACAGAGGGTGTAAAGTCTTGTGATACAGGCAGGTCTTCATGTAGGAGGCATTCACCTCCTCCACCAGGTTGCGCCTGTAGGGGCAGAGAGCATTGGTACCACTTGTGCCAGCTGGGAGAGTGCCCACTATGTCCCTCATATCTATCCTCATGGCCTCCAGAATGCCCCTTTAGCAGCCCACCTCAGGGGCCCAGCTTGGGCTCCTGCAGCATGAAGGAGGAGCTGGGAGGAAGGGAGGGAGACAGAGAGTGCTGGAAGCAGCTGGGGCAGCCTCCAGAGCCGGCTGTGTTTCTGCCCACATTTCCCACAAACCTGTTGACCTTGAAGCGTGGAAAGCTGATGCTGTTCTTGATGAAGAGAGTAAAGTTCTCGGCCTCTTGGAGAAGGGCAGGGCTGGAGAAGACCACACTCACTCACTGCCCCCCATAGGTCCCCTTGTGTGTTCCATCTGATCCCACCATTGGGGTGCCATACCCCACCAACATAAGACTGCAGGAGGACCCTTTGGGCTCTCTCTTCCCATGGAGCAGGAAGAGAGAGCCCAAAGGGTCCTAAGAGAGAGCCCAAAGGGTCCTCCTGCAGTCTTATGTTGGTGGGGTATGGCACCCCAATGGTGGGATCAGATGGGATGAGGGTGGGGTCAGAGGAAGCAGAAATGGATTCTTTCCAGACCCAGCCACCCTTCTGTCTGGGCTAGGAACCTTGCCCCCAACTCCCTGGAAGGATGGGCATTAGTTACCTTGGGATTTTGTCATCCACCTCCACAGGGCACCAGCCAAAGATCTCACACGTCTGCACAGTGTCGTTGAAGGCCACACACTTGCCCGTGCGAATGCCTGGAGCAAGGGAGGAACCCCTAGGTGCCCACCCAGGCTGGGGGTACAAAGGGAGGTCTAGGTCCCTTCCCCAGGACTCCTAATAAAGGGGCACCAAGGAGGAGCAACCTGCAGATAGGAATATTGGAGGGCCTGTGACAGGGAACCCAAGCCAGGGGCAGGAGGGAGAGAGCTGCACAGACTGCAGGTTGGGCTGGTGGCACAGGTGTGGAGAGGCAGAGACAGGGCCAGGAGGGCCTGAGGGACACAGGGCCTGGAGCCAGAGGAGCAGGAAGTTGGCCTTACCTTGGGCCTTCCTTTCTGCCTTCCCTGGGATGCAGCTGCTGTTGTCCTTGCATGTACCCCCCTCTGGGTGCTGAGGGAGGGGAGAGGTGCTGGCCCCTGGCCCAGTGGGTGCCATCCTGAAAAGAGCCCCTCCCACCCCCAGGCCCTAGGGAAGGCACGGGGTAGAGCCTTAGACTTTTTGGGTGACCCCTACTCACAATCACCTTCCCCCAGTCTCCACCACTCTGGATTCTCACCCAGTTGTCCATCACCTTTGTTGCTTGGCAGAGGTGTGGAGGCGGGGGGAGGGGGAGGCTTAGCTTGGCACACATGGGGAAGAAGACTGGCACTGTCATTGAAGGACAGTCACTTCATGTGAATTTATGCATGGCATTCCACCATGGGAGCCCTCAGGTGGCCCTGCTTGGCATTACTACCAGGTCCTAAGGGACACCTGTCCCAAGTTATTCTCCCTTGTGGGTCTGGGCAGGGCAGATACTCACCTCTGCACAGTAGTCTTGAGCCTGCTGAGGGGTCACGATGAAATTGGTCATGACCACAAAGGAGCTGTCCCCCTGGAAGTGAGGGGCAGGGAGAGCGGGGAAGGATTGGCATGACATCCCTGAGACCTCTCCCTGGCCCCCAGAGCCCATCTGACACCCAGAGGCCTCCACACCCCACCATGCCACCATGAGAAGTTAGTCCCAGGCTCACAGGGAAACTGAAGTTCAGAAGGAACAAGGACCCCAGGGAGGAGAATGGAAGTGCACTCAGGTCAGCTGACCTGTGCAGGGAAGACGTAGTCAGCCACATCCCAGACCTGGGGGCCAAAGTTCTGGAGCTGGGTCACGGCCAGGCCTTTGAGCTTCACAGACACACTGCTGATGAGGCCACTGGAGGTCTGGTAGCCCTTCTCATAGACAAACACCCACCTGCAGGAGTAGGGCTCATGGGAGATTATGGTTCTGGGCAAGGGCTGGGCCAGCCATTCAAGGACGACAGGTGGTTTTATGAACCTCCATCCTTTCTGGCACCCACTGGGGACGGTATGGTTTTCCCCTTGCCTTCCCTAGGTGCATCTCCAAGCCACCTTCTGCCTCTCTGCCTCCCTCACTACCCTCTGCCTGAAGTTCTACCACCTTTCCACAATGAGAATATGAATTCCCAAAGCAAAATCCTACTGTGCATCTCCTCCAGATCCTCTCCCAAAAGCAGGGTTCACAGGGCTGCAGGCCGGCTTCTCGGCTGATGCCTCTTGGACCCCAGTGCCCCTTCCCAGAGCCAACCCTCTGCCCGCATGTGCCTCATCTATAAACTGGGAATGATGACAGCACTTGTTGTTTGAGTTAGTCAAGGTGTGAAAAACCTTGGGGTGGAGCCTGGCCTGCCAGTCAGGCTTGTAGAGACATTAGCTAGAACTACCACAACCATACTGGGCACACTGGGGAGGGGACAGGGAAGGACAAGAGGGCTAATGACCCTTGCAGCCTCTTGTGTCCTGGCATACGCCCATGGGAGCAGCCCAGGCTGGAGACGCCTTGACTTTGGAGGAAAGTTTCAGCCTTCCATTTCCAGCACTTATAGTGTCCCCCAACTTATAGTCTAGGGGGTTCAGCAAGGTCAGTTGCCTCCTCCCCAAGGGTGGGCACATGAACAAGTTTTGCCAATCAATATTCTATCCCCTGGGAGCAGCCCAGGGATGGGCCATGACCAGGGGAAGATTTCAATGAAGGCAGGATTTTTCTGGAAATTGCTGGAAAGAAACATTCCATCTCCTCAGTGGCTAGGAGGGGTGGCTGCCAGGCCCAAACTACAGTTAGTCCTCATCAAAAAGGCAGGGAAGGGTCGTCGAGATGGCTCAGAGGATTAAGTGCCTGCTTTGGCAGGTGCAGGGACCAGGGTTTGATCCCTGGTCCTGCATGCTGCACCAGCCCCACTTTCAGGGCACACAGAGCCAGTGACCGAGTCTGGGTGTGGTGGCACACGTCTGTAACCCCAGTGCAGGAGACGCTGAAAACAGGAGGATCACTATGAGTCCGAGATGCATAGTGAGACCCTGTAGCAAATACATAAAATAGAAAAAAAAAAAAAAAAAAAAAAAGACAGAGAGCTAGAGAAGGAGGCCAGCCTTGATGGAGGCCAGGCCCAGAGATGAGAGGGCCAGACCCCTACTGCAACAGTGTTTTTGAGCACCTGGATCCAGCCAGGTCTGAAGCATACTTGAAAAATCTACTTCTGAGTTTTTCAGTTACATGTCAAATACATTCTCTTCCTTTATGTAAACCAGTTTGGACTGAGTTTCTGTTGCTGATAACTGAAAGAATCCTAGATAACACTTCTTTCTAAAAGTGGGACTCTTCCTTCAGAAAAGACTCTTCACAGTGATTGCGAGTAAGAGAGACTGTGTGTGTGTGTCCCATGGAAGTGTGCAGCCTCATGCCTCCAAGGAAAACCTGAGTCCACCTTCACCGATCTCTTTCTCTACCCCAAGCTCACCTGGCCAAGCAGAACTCAAAGCCATTGACTGCCCCTTCCTGTTTCCCAAAGCCCAGGCCTGTTGACAGAATTGTCCAGGCCTCTTAATCCCAGTCACTGCCTTCTGTCTCAGTCTGTCTGCTTCCCCAGGAGGGCAACCCACCAATGTCCTCTTTTCTCCTCCAGAAGGCCATCCCCTTCTGCTCTGTCTCAGCCTGGCCTCAGAACCAGCCCCACCACACACACCCACCTAAGCGTGGTCACTGCTGCCCCCTGCAGGTGTCAGGCTGCAATGGATTGGATGGGGACCACAAAGGACCCAGTGCTGCGTCCCAAGCCTGCCCTTCCAGGAGAGGGCGATTTCCCACCCCCACTCTCCTCAAGTTCCTGCCCCCAGGAAGGCCTTTTGCTCCACACCCACGCTCACAGGAGAGAGGAGAGCTGCTCCATGTTCTGAGCCCCCTGCAAGAGAAGCCTCGGCCTCCCTCGTGGCACTGCAATCCCCTCACCCCAGCCCTATTTCTCTTTATACCTAATGCCAAACCCTCATATCATCGATGGGAAAACTGAGACCTGTTGGGGCGCCCCTCCCAAAAGCCAGAGGTCAAGCAGTGAGCAGACCCTGCCCAGGACTCGGCCTGCCTCCACCAGGCAGCACTGGCACCAGCGCGTCTCTCAGGAGCCAGGAGTTCCTGCCCCATGGTTGCGCACTGGGACCAATGTAGCGCTTCCAGGCAGTGTCTTGGGCTCAAAGGGAAAGGGCAATCAGATTAATGACCTCAGTTCTGGTAATAATAGAATGACCATGGCGCCAGGACTGGCCCTCCAGAGCAATGCTTTGGCCAGGCCTCATGGTCACCCCCAAGGGAAGGCCACTCAGGGAGTCTGAGGTCAAAGACACTGGCATCTTCCAAAGTCCCTCCCTTTCCAGAAATAATCTTTCCCAGTCTTTCCACTTCTCCTGGGGCTCTCTTCTCCAACGGTCGCTCATGGAAGAGGGGACAGGCCCAAAGGACCCAGATCCAGCTCCAGCTGCCTCTGCAGCTGTGTGGCTCTGAGCTACAGACTGGTTAGTCTCTGAGCCCTAATTTTCTCCATAAAACAGGTCATGACACCTACTTCAAAGGTGTTAATCATGCCACAAACACCTAGCAAGGCCATGTACTTGACTCAGTATTGAGCCTCCCCCAAAGCAAAATCAATCAATCAATCAATCAATCAATCAATCAATCTAGGTAATTGTTTGGGGAAAGTTCCTATGAGGTTTTCCCCCCACCCCCCACCACTGTGGTGTGGGGCATCAAACCTAGGGCCTCAGACATGCTGAGTAAGAGCTCTGCCACTTACAGGGCTACACACCCACTCTTTGTTTTAAGGGTTTTTTTTTTTTTTTTTTCTCTGAATGCCTTCAGGGCAGTTTTGGCTGGCTTGAGTTGTGGGGATCGAACCACAGCAACCTGAACCTGACTGCTTTGTTGAAGCAGCCACTCAAAGAACTGAGCTAAGGGGCGGGCCCCCTGTTTTCAGTTTTGAAACCAGTACCTTAATAAGTTACTCAGGCTGACCTTGACCTTGCAATCCTTATGCCTCCGCCTCTCTGGAGCTGGGATTCCAGGTGTGCACCACCACACCTGGCCTTCATAAATTCTCTTTAAGGAAATTATCGGGCACAGCAGGCACATGAAAAGTAAAAACCCTCCTTCCGCCACTCTGGGTGCTCCTTCCTTGATTCTCCCCTCCATGTCCATCCACCCGCACATGCCTGGCTTCTGTTCTGTTCCCCCGGCAGAGCCCTGCAGAAACTGTCACAGACATACTGCATCCCCAGATTTCTACCTCCAGATTTGCACTCTCCTCTTGAGACTCAGTCCCACAGATTCATTTAGTCATTCAACAAACGTTTATGTACCAAGGCACTATTACATGCCAAGAACTCTTCTACATGCTAAAAATACAGAAGTGAACAAAACAAACACAAATCCTAGCTCAGGGTGTCTATGTAAATGTCTATATCTCCAGCTGCTTGGTGACTCATATCTCCGCTTCTCTCTCCCAGACACCTCCTAGGTATGTCACAGACAGCTGGACCCTTCGAAAAACAGACCCACCTTTCCTCAAAAATTAAACTGTGGAGGGGCTGGGGAGATAGCTCAGCCATCTAAGTGCCTGCTTGGCAAGTGCAAGGGCCGGGATTCGATCTCTGGTGTTGCATACCATGCAGGCCCTGGAACTCTGGGTGCACTGTGTTAGCCCCGAAACCAGGCATGGTGGTGCACGCCTGTAATCCCAGCACTGAGGAGACTAAGACAAGAGGATTAGCATCTGTCCGACCTGTGTAGTTAGACCCTATACCAAGTTAATTAATTAATTAATTAATTAATAATAAAAAGATCCCTTAACTGTGAAATTCCACTTGACCCCATATTCCTGCAATTAGGTATATAACCAAGATTTAAACATATATCTGCACAAACGTTGGTCCACAGGCAACATTGTTCATAGAGGTCAAGAAGTAGAAAAGTCCAAATGTCCATCTATAGAGGAATAAATAAATAAAATGTTGTGTAGCCATGAAAAGGAAGGAAGTACTGATACAACCCAAGATACAATCAACCTGGACAAACCTGGACAGCCACGAAAAGATGGACATTGCTTTACTTGTATGAAATGCCCCAAATAGGGGCAATAGGCTGCGAAAAAGGGATGATGTGATGGGGTAGTTTCTTCATGGAATGGTGAAAATTTTCTGGAATGAGATAGTGGTGATTGTTGCACAATTTCATGAAGACTAAACAGTACGTGAGGGCTGGGGATATGGCTCAGTGGCGCAAGCACCTGCCCAGCAAGTGTAAGGTCCTGAGTCTGATTTCTGGTACCAAATAAAAAAATAAAATGCACATGATTATCGATTTTTTAAAAAAAATAAAGACTAGGGCAGCTCAGCAGCATGCATAAAACCTTGGATTTCCTCTCCAGCATCACCAAAAGTAATAAAAAATAAAATAAAATTAGAAGGTGACCATTATGGTATATGAAATCTATCACAATGCAAAGTACTAACCACTGGGCAAACACAAATGCAAATGCCCCATCCTGACCACATCTCCCCATGGAACTTGATCCTCCTATCCACTTTGCTTCTCACAGGACAGCCTGGACCAGTTGGGCACAAAATCTCCTCCAATCAAAGCTCTCCATTCCTTTGACTGCAATGACTGGCTCTGGCTTGGGCACATGATCCAATCTCAGCCAATACAAGTTGGACATGGGGTTTCGCTGGAATTCAGGAGGAAGGAGATGTTTTTGTACCTGGGAGATGTAGCTAAATGGAGGGTGCCAGCCTGCTGGTGGCCACTTTGCCACTATGAAAACAGACAACTTGCCTGAGAGTGATATCTGCCCAAAAGGGAAGCAGAGGCACAAAAAGGAGGTGGATCCTGGGTAGGTGCTTTGGGAACCAAAGCTAGGCCAACCTGGACTGCTCATATCCTTATAGACCTTGCTCTTCCTGAGGGCATTAGTTACCGGTGCATTACTGGAACAAAACATACAGTGCACACAACTTAATTAATCCAAGTAGGAAGGATTGATTTTGGCTCACAGCTTCAGAGGCTGTAGTCCATGGTCACCTAGCTCAAAGGCAGAAACGTCATGGCAGAAGGGCATGGTAGAAGAGAACTGCTCATCTTATGGCCACCAGAAAGAAGAAGAGGTAAGGATCCAGAGGAGAGGAAGGGACTAGGGACAGGACATACCCTCAAAAGCATGCTCCCAGAGATCTGTTTGCTCCAATGGGTCCCACTTCCTAATAGCCCACTGAGCTGTGAACTCAACAATGGGTCAGTCCATTCATGAGGTTAGTGACCTCATGATCCTGGCACTTCATACTACATGAGTGTCTTTTAGGGCACAGCTCCAATCAAACCATAATACTATGTATGCCCTAGTCATGGAGGATCTATGATGTGGAAGCTCAAGGCTGACAGTGATTTTTCAGATATATAAATAGGCTTCTGTTATAGAATCAAAGGAGTTTTCACTCACTCATCCTCAGCTCCTCTCTCTCCCTCTGCCCACCGTGTGTCCCAGCTGAATCTCCTGGCACAGCGTGAAGATGCTGTGGAAACCTGGATTTTTCTCCCAGCAATAATGTGGACATGTCCTTATCACTGACTGGTCACTCTGGGATCCACCTGGTGATCTCAGAACAGGTGACTTCAAGAGCTCTTCTGTGGAGGCGGAGGAGACAAACAAGGACTGAAGTGAAAAGAGGTCCAGAGTGGCCAGAGGAAAAGCTAAGAGCTTTTTCCCAGCTTGTCATCCCAGACCTTGGCCCATAGTTGGTTCTACCACTGTGTCACTTCCTCCAGGAAGCCTCCCTAGGCCCATCTCTCCAAGCAGCACCCACACATCCCCTTGGAGACCCTCCTGGGTGCTGCAACCAGACCACCCTTCTCCTCTTCTACTTAGAGCTCCCAGGCAGAAACACACCCCGTCATGTTCCAGTATGGGCCTGTTAGGTCTCAGACACAGCCCACTGCCTGCCTAGCTGCAGTGACAGAAAGCAAGTCATCTCCCGGAGATAGCTGAGACCATCCCATTCTGAGCTAAAAGTGGCTGAGCCTTCTACAGCCTCAGGACCACTTGCCTCCCTATACTTGCCTTGGACTTCCTGGAGAAGCATGATGAATAGGGACCCTCTTTCGAACTTTTTCCAGTTTTTGGCATCTCAGCCTCTACCTCTGAAACTTTCTCTTGTCTTTCTCTCTGTCTCTCTCTCTTCCTCTCTGTCTTTCTCTCTGTCTCTTTCTGTCTGTCTCTCTCTGTCTCCCTCTGTCTTTCTCTGTCTCTCTGTCTCTGTCTCTCTGTCTCTCTCTGTCTGTCTGTCTGTCTGTCTCTCTGTCTCTGTATCTTTCTGTCTCTGTCTCTGTCTCTGTCTCTGTCTGTCTCTGTCTGTCTCTGTTTGTCTCTTTCTGTGTCTCTCTCTCTCTCTCTCTCTCTCTCTCTCTCTCTCTCTCTCTCTCTCTCTCATCCAAGTCTTGCTCCATGTCTGTTTCTCTATTCAGCTGTGTCTCTATGCCTGCCCATTCCCTATGTGGCTTTGCTGGCCCTGACTCTTCTCTGGTGTCCCACCCCCACCTTCCCTGCCATCTCTGCAATGTCTACAGGACCAGAAAGCAGACAGACATCTAAGAAAGAGGAAGGTCCTTCAGCAAAACCCAATCCTCTCCAGTAAAGAGCGAATGGTCTCCTCTAGCCCTCGCCTTGTGGAACAGTCAGGAAACTCAGACTTCAGCTGCTGAGACCAAATCCAGGTTAGGTGAGGAGGGCAGTCCAGTTGGGGACACCTAGCTGCAGGCATCAGTGCAGCTCTTAAAAGTGGCCAGAGGAGGGCAACAGAGACAGCGGGAGCCTCAGCCAGTGGGGGCTGTCTTGGGGGTGGCTTGAGGCTTGAGTGAGAGTTGGGGGCAAAAGGGTCCGCCTTTGGGCTTCTCTATGGGACTCCAGCAACTCAGTGTCTCTCTCTGAAGACATTTTCTTTCCAGGATATCAAAGCCAGCTTCAGAGCCATTCAGCTAGTTCAGGTCCCGACTAGCTTCTTAACAAATGGGAGATCACGCAAAACTCCTGTGCCTGGGAGCCGTGCTCATTCTGAGAAGGGTCACATCCCTTTAGAAACTCAGTGGATTGGTTGTGGAGGGAGCAAGGGGAGGAGGGAGGTGGTGGGCTCCCTAATGCTTGAGGCATGGGTTTGTGGCTCAGTTGCAGCTTGGGGCACATCCTGCAGCATGGAGGAACTGTCCTTTCCACTCTGTCACCAGCCCCTAAGAGGGTGCTGGCACTGGCCACAGCCACTGACTTGAAAGCAGAACAGAGTCATGGGGTTCAGGGTTCCCAACCTCTTCTGGTGAGCAGGCTGGGCCTGAGGGGGTCAGGAGTGAAACTAATGGTGGACTCTTAGGTCCATCCTGTTCCTGTGAGAAAGTTCTGCAGAGCCCTTGAGATGGTGGAAAGGAGCAGGTAGAACAGAGACCTCAAGGTCAGGAGGCCTCGGGTATAAGTCTGGCTGTGCTGCTAATTTGCCATGGGATCAGAAACCCCAGTGCTCTTCTCTGGGCCTCAGTTTCCCACGGTTCCCCTCCACAACCATCACAGTTGTCACACTGGTCTGTGAACAGAAGGCAGGCAGAGGGCAAAAGGCAGCAGAGAGGTCCTGGCCCAGGCTGCAGCTTCCCAGCGCGGACACGTAAGGAGTGGGCTGGGCAGAGGAAAGGCTGTTCTGGACAGCAAACATTCTGGAGGACCACCGTGTAGGCCCTTGGTCAGCCAGTGTGGGCTCCATTTAGCAGCCCTAGTTTAAAATACATCAAAAACAGGAACTTGAAGGTGAGAGGGGCAGACTCTTCAGAATCACACAGCAAAACCAGGCCAGGGTTGCCAGGTGTTCCCAGGCCTCTAGCGGGATTGAATCTTCTTCCCGGAACCTCTAGAAGCCTTCAACTGGGTCATTTTGAATGGATATGATGTCCATTCACAGGGGACATGCACCAGGCCCGCAAGGAGTGCATCAACTACAAGGCAAACCCTGCCACAATGCACACTTAAGGATTGACACATGTGGGCAGCCAGCCCCAGAGACACAGCCAGCAACCACACCCATGAGGCACAAGCCCAGATCCCAGGGATGGGTGCACTCACAGGACATGTACCTATGTGTCCACACAAGCACTTACACATGCTCAAGGCCCTGCAGGCCTGCTGTGGCTTCTGGACAGCCAGGTTGATTTCACAAAAATGGCTTTTGCAGCCAGGTTCAGCCAGATGCTCTGATCCTGCACCCCTGGTACAATGAATGGGACAGGTCCCAGAAAAGCCAGGCATGGTGGTGCATGCCTGTAATTCCAGAATTTGGGAGGCTGAGGCAGGAGGATCCCTATGAGATCAAGGCTAGCTTGGGCTATACAGTGAGTTTAAGATCAGCTTAAACTATATAGCAAGACCCTGGAAAGAGAGAGAGAGAAGGAGAGAGAGAGAGAGAGAGAGAGAGAGAGAGAGAGAGAGAGAGAGAGGAAGAAGAAGA